AGATTTATCTAATTTATTTTATGTTTAAGTTTAAGAACAAGTAACTTAACAGTTTAATATAACAAGTTTTTGATCTCGTAGAAAAGGAGATATGTACATTTTCAGCTCATATTATCTACTTAATTCTAAGACATAAATTACCTCTATAATTTTCTCAGTTCTTAAGCCTGATTAAATTGGTAGATGGTTCGATTGCGGATGTGAGTATAAAATGTATAATTGTAGTTTAATCAACGTTATTTGACACTTTTAATATTAAAATTATTCATAGATTACGTGTGCATCAAGATGGATATAATTAGAACTAGTGATTCACCTTCGCTCCGCTCGGGTTCGTCCCTAGGTTGATTCCCCATACAAACTTTTATCCCCATTTTCACCCCCTTAAGGGATGATTTCCTGGATAAAAAGTATTCGATATCCTTCCTAGGGTCTCAAACTATCTTTTTACCAAACTTCATTTAAATCGGTTCAGTAGATCCAGAGATTACCCCCTACTACGTCACAAACTCACAATTCACAAACTCACAAACTTAACCTCTTTATAATATTAGTATAGATAATAGACGCGGATATACATTTCCATAAAATAGGAATTTCTTATGACATAGTCGCATCGAGGATGGCTGCCGGGGATAATAAAAACAGCATATAATTTGTTTTCAATGCACATATAAACACTTTGGGTTGTTAGTCATAAAATTGATAGTTTATATACCTATTTCCTTTAATGCGTTATTGTGATCTGTCTGTTAGAGGAAGAGCCCGTGAACGCCAGACCTTCGTCATTTTATAAAGGCTGAAAGTTTGTCAGCGCATGCGCTGACAAACTTTCAGCTTTTATAAAATGACGAAGGTCTGGCGTTCACATGCTCTTAGGCCATGTTTTTAAGAACAAATTATTATTTATATTACTTACTAATAATTTATTAAATAAAGGAAATATTAAACATTTAATCTGGATGCATATTAAACACCTTTAAAGCGCTGTACCGCAGTGACCTTCGATTACTAGGTCATTTGTCCTAAAATATAATAGATAAGATATCCATTATATTTTATAGATTTGCAAAATTGTTATTTTAGAACTTCATTTACTACTATCGATTTCCATTTTAAATAGATAAAAAAATTATTGTGAGCGCACCTTAGTACTAGTCCATATACATACATACGAACGTTTTTGTATACTTTTTTAAGTAATTTAATTTTTTTGTATGAAGACCAAATCGGCATAACCAGTTGTTGTGATTTCCCGTGGGAATGAGAGATATTTCTGTAGTAAAAGAGACGATTGACAAAACTCCAGGTAGTCACATTTTCACTACTGTAATTATCATTTCACGGTTTTTACAATTTACCTGCGACATATATACATACCTACATCTGTTCTTTTAAAATAAGTGTCATGTCAATAAGTGTCATATAATTATATATTTATGGTTTTCATTTGCACGATACCTAATTAATAAACCCGAATAATAATAATTAATAATATAAATAAATAGTCTACGTGCTACGGCTATCGTAGTATCTGGCGTTCTATTGTCTACGAGACCGAGCTACGTAGTTCTTGTACCTATATAATAATATATATAAAATAATAATGTATATATGTTTGTGCGAATATAAGTATTAGTATTTGTAACGTATGCATACTTATACAAAACTTTTAATTATGATAAAAAAATTGTCAGTGTTGTATGCACGCGAGTCAATACCAATGAGTGCGTGAATATAAAAAGATTGTACGCATACGTTAGTCTGAACATATATACACTTTAAAACAAAATGATTTTAATATATATAAATAAATATGTTGGGACGTTAACACACAGCACCATCTAGTTCCATGGTAAGCTACGAGGCTTGTGTTATGGATACTAGATAGTTGATACACTACGCATATATATATAACTTGAAATAGATAGATTTTTATAATATATAAATGTAAACACCCATGACTGGAGTACAAACGTATATGCTCATCACATAAATGAATACCTCCAGCGGGACTCGAACCCGCGACCGCTGGCATAGCAAGTAGGGTCACTACAAACTGAGCTAAACGTGTCGTCAAAGTAATATTGTACATATTATGTATTGGTAGCCTTTCTCTTTTACTTACTGATACTTTCCTGGTCCCTAGCATATGAGTGTATTATATATAGAAGGTAGTAACGGAAAGTTATGTGTTATAGTAATTTATATATTAAATTAGCATTGCCCGCGGCTCCGCCCGCGTTCACATGATCAAAAACCAAATTCTTAGGTTTTACATATTAGTATACTCTTACATTGCAGTTTTTGTATTTTTTCTAGAAATGAGACATTTTCCCGCGGAAAAAAATATCCTATATGTTGATCCGGATAACCAGCTATCACCATGCCAAATTCCATCAAAATCAAATCAGTGGTTTTTCTGTGATGCGGTAACAGACAGACAGAGAGACAAAAATTCTAAAGGCTATACATTCAGCCTCTGTATCGATAATAATGTCTATTTGAATAAGATTTTCCAAAAAATATTTAATGTACAGATTCGGCTCAGTTACAATTTTATTATATGTATAGATATTGTTTATTTTTTATTTTATAGTGATGTAAAAATTGACGTATCTGAAATCCGGTTTTCAAATGCAGATATAATTTTATACTTTGTAATTAAAATGATGCATTTATGATTCTTGGTCCATATATATTAATATTACTGTAAACATTTGGATTAACCATGAACTTGTCTATTCTATATCCTATTATATAATGAGATGAGATCTTTCGAAAACTAGGTTTTCTTAGACATGCAGCTTAAGGTAAGGCAAGTACCTATGTACCTATATATAATATTGTTATTATTATTATATAATATATAGTTTATCTATTCCATACTAACCATTAAAACATACCTAGGGATGAACCCGAGAGAAGCGAAGGTGAGTCATTTGTAAAGAATATTTATGTAATTGTTTTAAATTAATCTTTACTGTATATAAAATTTTAAGTTAGATAATATAATTAAGATATTTACGACATTACTTAACTGTTTATCTAATTAACATATGGCATATATTATACTAGTGTGTACTTGACCCTTCGATTAATTTATTAAAACTTTAAATAGGGTGCCATTAAACTGTTATCTTAATTATAGTAGCTGCTTATAAAGGTTTCATAGTAATAAAATTATTATAAGAAAAATTATCAAATGAAGGCTGACGCTATTAATCCAGTAGCTCTATGAATTATACATTTTTAAATCGAGTTATATGCGTCAGTGCACAAATTTAAATAAAAACCCTATTAAAAGGGAATAAGGAATTTAGATGCAAGAATTTTAGTAGTAGAAAAAAATAGGTTATGGCAGATGTGAGATGATGGTAATGTTACTAAAAATGTAAGTAATACTCAGTAATCCGATACGATAAAGAGAAATCCTTTATGTATTCTATGACCAAAAAAATAACAAGAAAATGTAACTTTTTTTCTAGCGATATCTCAAAAACTAAGGTTCCTCAAAAATAACAGTACTTACTCAAAAATGGAAATAAAATTGAATAATCTAACATTTATAAATTTATTTATAAACATATTATATGTTTCTCATGTATAAATATTTATTTAAAATAAAAAATATAGCTATTCGAGCAGTTAGGTATTAACTAACTAATAGTATAGAATGAAAATTAACGTATTATGTCTTAATAACTTTTGTTGTTTTATATGCCTATTAAGGGCTAGATGTTTTAATGGCAAATATAATTTAAATTATATTTTTGCTAGTGGTTTATAGCTGTTTCCTTCTTTGATGGTTAATTTTTGGAAACAGTATTTAGTTTTAATATTTAACATTAAACAGACAATTTTTTATCTAGTTTTCCACGCTCTGTGATAGAAGTATTGTATTCAGCCCTTTTCAACGTCCCACTGCTGAGAAAGGGCCTAAAAGCCTCCCTTCAATACGAGGGGGATCAGGCCATAGTCCACCACGCTTGCCAAGTGCGGGTTGGCGGACTTCACATGTCTTTCGAAAACTTGCTAGGTTCTCTCTACATGCAGGTTTCCTCACGATGTTTTCCTCCACCGTTAAGACAAGTGGTAATCGTGTTGGAAATGATTCGCACATGAAAGTATAAGATGTGCGAGACTCGGGATTTGAACCCGCTTCACTCGGTTTCTGAAGCGAGCGCGTTTCCACTGGGATACAACTGCCACATCTTATTTATAAGTATTATCCGACGAATTTATATGGAAATATAATTGTATAAATAAAATATGTATGAAGTTTTCTTTTTAATTAAGCTCTAGTTACTCAAATTGTAATTTAGATTTTTAATAGATATATCTTAGGACTGATCTATAAAACCACTCACTTGGCACGATTAGGGTTTTCTTGACATAATTAATATCTGTTAGTATTTTGGAAAGTTTTCTTGAGGGTTTATAGCCTTAAAACCATAATTTCAAAAAAGCCATATATCATGTTTGATTGAATTAAACATAAACTGAGATCTTGTGTTCATAAATAATTCATTTAATTAACAAAGGCTACTAAAATGTACGAGTATATAGGAAAATATTTAACCATAAAAATATATGTAATATGTGAGTTTTTTTGTAAAAGTTACTACTACTAATATTTCAGTATATATGTTTGTTGCAAAATGCTTTTATGCGTCCTTTTAATAAGGATTTAATAAATATAATAATTTTGAATAAATTATCATTTTCATATCACAATGGGTCGTGATTTTTAGAGGTACAATAAATATTTCAACATGCCAATAGCATATTTCGCAAACGGACCGAACAACTACACCAATACATAATAAACTAAACCCATATGATAGAGTTTGAGAATCATTGGTAATCAATAACTAATATTATAGATGAGACGAATATGCAGGAACATCACATTGTAAATTAGAAAAAAGGTATATAAACGCATAGATCTAAGAGACGACAACATTCAAGTTCATTGTGGCCGTGTGACAATAACAGTAATGCTTGCTCTGCTGGTAAGTATCGTTGCATATGGTGTAATACAATTTAATAAAAAATATTCTAATTTCATTTCATTTTCATTTAATTCTATTTAAAAGTTTGTATTTGTATATATAATAATTTAACTAAAATAATTTTTACAGGTCCTTTCTTTGGCGGCTGTCTGCGCCGCTCAAAATGCAGGGTAAGTTAAATTTTAAATACAGGTTAACAAAAAATAGACAAATATCAAAAGTTTGTATATATAATTAATTTTTCATTAAGTGCAATTCACGAAAATTATCTTAAATTTGAAAAAAATTACAATACAATATAATAAAAATCTAAATTTCAGTGTGAGTACGAGTACCTCTCCTGCAGTTCGTGCTTCGACTAGAGCATCAGTGAATGCTTATGATCCATTCCGTTACTCCAGCAAGCCCAATGCACCTGCAGCAAACGACCCCGGCCGTTACAATCCCGGTCGTTACGACCCCGGCCGTTACGACCCTGGTCGATATGATCCCGGGCGTTACAACCCCGGTAAATACGACAGTTCTGGACGTTACATTCCTGACAAGTCTGGTACCTACGAGTGAGTAGTGTTAACTATTTGTGCATTATAAGTTAAAACATTAAATTTGGAAAGAGATACGCAAAGTATTTTTATGTCTTTTCAACATTTTTAAAGGACTCCTAAAAGAAGGAGGTACCTAATCACTTTGTTATGTGTGTGTTTTTTGCCATTGTGGATTGACCTTAATTATTTAAAAAAAAAACGTTTCAACCACTTTAAAATTTCTTTTGGATCACCAAAAATACCATCCCTGAGGCTAGAATACTTATAGTTAAGTAATTTTGAAGTCAACGCACAGTTGTTGTCAGAAAGTAATTAATATTTACACATAATATCTTGGGCTTATTATTCTTGAATTAAAATCTTAAAGGAGTTTACGGATAATGATATCATAATTTACTTAAAAACCAATCGAATAAACTGTAGGTTAATGTTCAAAGAAATTTAATCGAAATGATCAGCGACACATATTTACTCGTAGAATTCAATTCAATATTCTTGTTTATGGCTTCAAAACGTGGCAGTTGAGCGCATCACATAACATTTAACTTTTATGTGTTAAAATATTCATTTAACCTATTAATGACACTGACATAATTAGTAAATTATATACGACATGATCAAGGTGTGGTCAAGTAATAAGCATATTAATTGTATGTTCTTTGTAGCCTATTTCATGTAATGTATATACATCTTAGTAGGTAATTAGTATACTCCTAATCAAAGGGGTAAATAGATAGATAGGGTAAATAGATATGGACGCCACTGACAAAGCAACGATCGTGGCTGAGTTTTGGGCTGACTCTATTTAAAACTTGCCATCGACACGAGAAGAAGAAGAAGAATAGATAGATAGATAGATGGATAAATACTTTATTGCACACACAAAAGAAGAGTACAGAAGATTAAAAGAAAAAATAACAAAGAGGAATGGCAAAGGCGGTCTGATTGCTACGAGCAATCTCTTACAGACAACCTTTGGTGAAAGGATAAATACAGGCATGATGAACTACGTTTACAAACATGAATACATACATAAGCCAAAAATATATACATGTATAATATATACGTACACATATACATAAATGCATACATATAGTAAATAGCTTAAATATTTTTCAAATTATGTTATTTTAATAATTAAAACTTTCTAGCGGTGATCGTGGTGACCGAGGTAGTGCTGGAGGCTTCTATTCCGGTTCTTCTGACAGGGGAGGTCCAGGTGGTGGTTACGTTGGCAACAAGGACGATATCGGCAAGGGTGGACAAGGCGGAAAATATGCTCCTGACAACGACGCTTCCAAGTGAGTATTACGCTAATATTGACAAGGATTTGTTTTAGGCACGATTATATATTAAAGCAATATGTGTTAGTTATCTTAACTATAACATCTCTCTCAAATTACATCTCTCTCGTAAATATTACAATATCGATTAAGGGCCTTGGATGAAATGTCGTTCTACAATTGTTGATAAATGGGATTTTGTTATTTCAATACAATTTAGGCAATAACAGCCCAGTGGTAATACGCTTAAAATACCGGGTCTCGCGCCTCAGATAATTTCACGTGAGAATCATTTCAAACATGATTACCACTTGCCGCACGGTAAAGGACAATATCGTAAGGAAAACCTGCATGTCTGAGAGAACTGTTGTACCAAATTCTGTCAGTTATAATAAAAACAATTTTTGATAATATTATGCGTAACTAAAATTAAAATCATTATTTTTCTTTAAATATGGCATAACCAAAATACAATTGGAATGTACCAAGCAATAAAACATATAAAATTAGCTTTATATATTATATGGTATAAAGTAACAAAATTCTAGAATAAAAGTCTAGATTATTAATGTCAAGTTGTTTCAGTGGTATAAAAGTAAAGAATACATCTATTAAATAAAAAACTATATTATAAAAAAAAATCCAACTGCATAAAAGTTTAATAAACGATGAAAATAAGTTAACAAATGAATAAAGTATTATGCAGCCGGAGACATGCACGTTTCATCCTTGCCGCAAATGTATCTATGTACAAATGTACATATTTCTCCGACTGCATAACACTTTATTCCTTCGTCAACTTGTTTTCATCTTTATAGTTAACTTTTATGCAGTCGGGGTTTTTTTATTTTCATAATATATTTTTTTTATTTTAGTTATTGCCAATTAGACATTTGAAGATATATTTAGTCATTTTCTATCCTAAATTACCTTTAAACATATAAGTCTTTTATATATTTTTGTGATCGCCTCTTAAAAACCAACCAATTATTTTGATACCCTACTTGATTGGCTTAGAAGAAATTTTGTTTTTAAAATCACACAAATTGGCGCCTGAAATCTGCCATTTCAATTTTCAAATATTTATCAAGACGAATCAAACTACGTATAAATATCAAAAGTTGCCTGCGCGTTTGGTTTCTACAACGCCACATAGAAACAAACATACATACATAGACTGATAAACACATTACCCTCCTTTGCGTCGCGTAGTTGGATAAAAAATATAAATAGAAGACATACATTTATATAATAACCAGAAACAAATGTTATTAATACTTTTATTATAATGTTCTTCATATTTTATCAGGGATAAGATATCGTCAGGGTCGGCGAAGCCCTCTAAGGATGACAGAAATAAGTAAGGAATTATTAAAAATATTTACTATTTCGCTATTCATGTTATGCACACCGTTATATATAATTTAAACTCTTCTTTCTTATGTTGGAAGTTAGTACCTATAGTAAGTATCTTTCAAGAAGTACAATAATTATTTATAAAATTTTATTATTATTGTGTAATTTTTTAACAATTCATAGCCTAAGTACTGTTTAAAATGTAAACTAAATTTAATATTAAAGAAGCTTAATTTTTACTAGCGACTCACCCTCGCTTGATCAAGTGCGTTCCTAAATGCCTAACAGTAGCCTATATCCTTACTCCGCGTGATAGTTAATCTGTGTACTAAATTTTACCCAAATATCATCTTTTTCAGTGTGAAGAAGTTACAAATACACACAAATATACAAAATTTCGCATTTATAAAAATAGCCTAATTATTAAGCTTGAATAATTTCTACAGAGCGTCACCAGTTCCAGCCTTCAGTCCTGCCCCTTCGTCATCATCTTCTACTGCTAAGCCAAAACCAGTCGTACCAACACCGGTTGTTCCTAAAGTCAACACTGGCAACTACGATTACAAATACGGCATTATTCGTCAAGAAACTGATGTACTTCCTGATGGCTACCACTACCTTTATGAGACAGAAAATAAAATCCTTGCAGAGGAAGCTGGTCGAATTGAGAAGATCGATAACGAAAGTGAAGACCTTAGAGTTAAGGGATTCTTTGAGTACGTCGGTCCAGATGGTGTTACCTATAGAGTAGACTATACCGCCGACGAGAATGGCTTCGTCCCCAGCGGCGCTCATTTACCTTAGGAATCTAGTCTTTAGTAAATATTTAAATTGTTACTAAGTATCTTTAAATAATTATTTTTTCTGTTGCCTATTATAAATATAACTATATTTCTATCGATCCTGTTATTTTATTTATTTTATCTAATGTATCTATCTAATAGCAGGAATTTATAATGAACTAGCGACTCACCCTCGCTGCGCTCGGGTTCGTCCCTACTTACGTTTTAATGTTTAGTATAGATTTCTCAGAGATGAGATATTTTCTCACAGTAATAAGTATAGTAAGTAACATATAGGATGTTGACCCGAATAACCAGCTGTCATCAAACCAAATTTAATTAAAATCCCTCCAGTGGCTTTTCCGTGATGCGGTCACAGAAAGACAGACAGAGAGACAAAAATTCTAAAAACAATAGATTCTGCTTCTGTATTGATAGTAATGACTATTTTAACACGATTTTCCAAAAAATATTTAATGTACTGCAGATTCGACTCAATTATAATTTTATTATATTTATTATAGATGTTCATTAACTTTTTTAATCGTGATACGATTAAGGATAATTTTATTCACTAATAAAACGAATAGACAAGATATTGTGAATGTTCAGGATGGAACAAATGGATGGGACATGGAAGAAAAGTACCTAAAATATTGATGGTACCGACTTTTCCTCAAAGGAAACTTTTTTTTAAATAATAATAACTGCATTTATTTATGTTTTAAAAACTTACCTGAACCGGTAATTGACCTAAATAAAAATATGATGAGTATAAAATCTCTCGAAAGAACAATGTATCATATAATAATTAAAGAAAACCAAAGTTTTATACTACCTAAAACCAAGTTCGAAATATTAGTACAGAATTACGTGATAATCACGATTTATCAAAGACCTCATAACGAACTTATTAAAATTTTTTGCAATGAAGTTATTCTTCGTAGACTAAAAAAAAAACAAACTTTAAGAATGTTATGTTGATAATGAAATCTTATAAATATAACTTGAATTTTACTGCTACCCTAAAAAAAATGGTACGACAAGACTTATTGAATAACCTAAATTAAGCTATATTTAGTTGTAAAATCGAGACTACCCTTCAGCAAAAGATCATCTCTTTTGTAAAATAAAGCTTCTAATCGTATACGTCGTGGTGCTTTAGACATCTGTGGCTACTCATTCAAATTAGACTAGTTTTATTGTAAGGTCATTTGGATGTAATTATGTGACCCTAGTATAGGTATAATAGTTAGAATTATCCTTATTTAACTTGTAACCTTTACCCAACCGTGTGTTTATTTTTAGGATGCGTTGTTTAAAGTCCACAGTTATCAGTCCAGGTAGTCATTTGCCAATACAAATTAGTATAGCGCCTGTTACTTAAAATTTAGAAGGAGAAACAAGTAAATTAAAACTAAAAAAAAAACTACTCATGAAACTATATTTTAACAAGTAAATAAATATACTGTTTGACTTTTTTTAACAGTGTGAAGAAGTACAAAGAAACGTAATTGTCTTCTATTTTAATCATCGACAATGCTACAGCAATTTACCGAATATGCTCTTTGGTTATTAAAATATTTTAGGAGCTTAATATTACCTTATTTATACTTACCTAGATACATATGGCTAACCATGTAAATTTCTAAGTACGACTAGACAAAATCTGTTATGGTGTTTTCCCAAGGGAATGAAAGATTTTCCTGTAGTAAAAGGCATCAAGATATCAAGTTTCAACGGTGGTAGGACTCTGTCAAGCCTGAGGAGACCGACTGCATGGGTACCACCCCCTTATCTATTTCTCCCGACAAGCAACAATGATTACAGGCAAGAGGCATATCATCTTAGTCCTCACAGTGACAACGCATCTGTGGTTGTGCATTTTTGTAACATAAAACCTAAGTGCATGAATCGTAGGTGTTATGGGCGACAGGTACCGCTTTCCATCAGGTGGTCTCTTTGCTCGTTTGTCACTGAACACCATAAAATAATCTACTTATACCGAACAACTTAATTTGAATACCGTAAGATAATATTTAGTGTTATGTTAAAAAAAGGTAAATCTTGAATAAGTATATTAAAATGTAATTTTAATACAAGCTAGAGTTGCTCACGGTTGCGCTCTGGTATCCATAAAACATGCCTTGTATCTTACTATGGAACTAGACGGTGCTGTGTGTTAATGTCCCAACATATTTATATTTATACATATATTAGTAATATTTAATAAGCAGAAACCATTTTTTTAAATGTTTGTAAATTTTTGCTCTAATCTTTAAATCTAAAGCACTGGCAAGTGCTAGTCGGATAAAGTAAAAAATAACAGTGAAGACTGTGTTGGTCTGGCAGATATGTCCTCTGAGACGACTTGATGCGTCTTTGGCTTTAATAATTCATATAATATACCAGCGACTCACCCCCGCTTTACTCGGGTTCGTCCCTATATGTGATTTCCCATACAAACTTTCATCCCCATTTACAGCACCTTAAGGGATGATTTCCAGGATAAAAAGTCTATCAGTCTTCTAAATCGGTTTAGTAGATCCAAAGATTACCCCCTACAACGTCACAAGCTCATAAACTCACAAACATTACCCCTTTATAATATTAGTATAAATTAAAGTCAATCTAATCCAATCAAAATGCAAAGTCCAAAAATATTTTTAAAAATTTGTGGTAATATTCAGTGAGTATATTTTGATCATATTTTGTTGAATTTTATAAGTAGGCAATACGATGTCGTCATTAGGATCTAAGGTTTATTTTCCTGACATTTGAATGAGGTCAGATGGGCTGTGCACTTAAAGATCATTAGAATACTTCTGTTATACTTTATGAGGTAGCCATAAGATAAAATGCAAAATACAGTGACAGTGTCATAAAATCTTAATTGATTATTTTTCCGGTCTTTATTTCCTTTCTATTTGGACCTCTAGTAATCCGTAAAAACTTCCTATAAGTTCTTTTAATTTTTTTCTGTGATGAATATTGTATTAGAGTTACTATTATATCAATATTACTTCCTCTTAAATTGTGTTGGCGCTTCTTAATTCAAAATCGAGTTATACTTATCCTATATATAAACCATCTTTTTTAGAGTTAGAAAATAAAATTTGGTAGCCCATTTTAGATTACAGACAAACTTTTACATGGAGAGAAAAAATATTACCTGTCACTTTACAGGGTCATTGAACCTTATTTACGGTGCTAATATTCTATTATCATATTATTATTAGTATCGTTACTACAAGAACTATTGTACGAGTATAATAGAAGAGTAATGAACAGTGAATAAATTTTTCATCTTACGCCCATGTGACAGTAGCGAAATGGTCAAGCCACATATTTAGACTAAGGTGTAGAGTTTGTGAAGTTAGGGCGTGTAGAGCTAGAAGCTTGGCTCTACTTGAGATCTGATAACTTTTTGAGAGTGTGAGCGATACGATCTCGTCTTGGCAACATTTTGCATGAAATATATTAATTGCGTACCTGTTTATTAGCAAAATAGGAATGGATTGAACAAGGTGTTCAGCAATAATAATCACAAAAACGAAACACTTTTTACTATAGTTTTTGTTATACCTTAAAACATGGTTATTTTACCGTCTTAAAAAAAGTTTTAAAATACGTTTATTGTTTAGGACAAATTAATTTATAATATTAGTTCGATAAAAGCACAGTTTAGGAAAAAGCTACTGCAGATTGATCAACTGGGACAGAAAAATAATTAGATAAATTAAAAAAATTTTTTTATTAAATTGTATTATTATACTAAACGCCTATACCACTAATTCAAACGTTAAATAAATCAGTAAAACCTAAGAAAAGACGGACGAAAGAGACTCACTGGAAGTATAATGTAGACCTATTTTTATACAAAATTAAAAAAAACGCTTTAACATTAAGTTTTGTACATACGTAAAAAATATATTACTCAGGGAAATTGTAAAAACCGATAAATTCATTAAAATTTTGAAAATAATTTACATATGGAAATTTTAATACGGTTTGTAGTACTTTCTTAGCTTTATGATGAAATTTTTAAGCACCAAAATTTCATACTGTGTCATGTAAGTAATTGAAACCTACGTATTAAATACATACCTAATCAAATATTTTCGAAATCGGTGCCAGCCCATACAAAGCAAAGCACACCGACTTCGAAAATATTTGATTAGGTATGTATAGTAAATGAAAACGACCAATCAGTTATTTTTTACTTTTTAGTGCTTTTGTTTGAAGTCGGTTTTTATTTTTTTGTTAAAAAGTTTTTATTTATTGGACTTTCTCATCGTTGCATTTGCACACCTTAATATTAATTTGAAGGATGCACGATTTTACATTCTCGGAAATTTTATTACATGATTTAAAACAATATTATTATTGATTGCGTTTGGCTTGCTTATGAAGCACGTAGATTCGATTCTCAGCCAAGGTGCTTTTTACTCTCATAATATATAAAAGTGTAATTCTATTGAAGTACCAATTTCATTAATAAAACTGCATATAGTATCAACAGCCTTGTGAACTACTATTTACATTCATCATTTATAACAGGCCGGAAACTGAAGAAGCTTTAGTGGTTAGCCTTTGCAGATTGACATTATAGAATTATATAAAATCCTTGCTTTTCTTTAATACTAGCAATAGCAAACAAAACCATTTTAATACATAAATAAAACCAAACATAAACAACTTCACAAACCACCACTATCGTAGTCTTTGCATATTAGCTGTATAATTTTGCGTTATTGTTAGTGACTTGCCCTCGCTACACTCGGATGCGTCCTTAAGTGCCTTTTTCATTTCGAATGTTTATTTTTAACCGACTTCCAAAAAGGAAGAGGTTCTCAATTCATCGGCATCTTTTTTTTATATGTTCACCGATTACTCGAAGACGCCTAAAACGATTTGGAAAATTTTTTTTTTCAAAGAGTATACTTCCCAGGTGGTCCCATATAAAATTATTGAAAACGGTCGAGCGGTTTTAAAAAAATCAACAATTTTTTTTTTTAATGAATTGTTAATCAAATATGTTATTAAAAAACTTTCTTCTTACAATTTACCTGCTTATTACGTCTACATTAAAGATGGAAAAATAAAAACTTAAAAAAAAACCGACATCCAGGTACCAAAAAATAACTAAACGGGGGTTTTTATTTAGAATAGATACCCAATCAGATATTTTCGAAGTCGGTGTCATTAGCGTCCGTCAATCCAGCCGGCCGTGACATCAAGAGATACATTGGGATGCAGCTCAGCTCCGTAGGTGATGTACCATGCGAGCTGTTCTTGTTACTTCTCTGATAGCAGAATGGATCGTGGGAGCAACCCCTTAGCTGTTGTGCTCTGCTTCAGTAAAGACTGTAGTCGGAACATTGTGGTCGAGTCGTAAGTGATCCTGCGGATTCCCTTGCTGCGTCTTTTTAAAAATTTTTATTTAACTGTTATAAGTAACATTCAGTGGAATCATAATGAAATTGAATTTGAACATTTAATAATTATATTTTAAATATTCGTGGAATATTCAAAATCCTTAAAGGTTAGATTTATCGAAAATTTACAAAAGCGTAATAATATTTATCGTATATATTTGTAACCTTATATTTATAATATATTTAGCATTTACATTTTTTTAATTAATTGTAATAATTATATATCTGGAATGGGAATGTTAAATATGTATGAATATATTATTAGAGAATCTCGTTTACGTGGTGCTTGTTTCACGGTACTTGTTTTCTTAGTTTATATTACAAGTTGCCTCTGATTTCCAGTAAATAGTCTGAATATTCATTCACTCTTACTTTTTTCTTATCTTTTGTCTATCTGTATACATAGAACAGGATGGTGACGCTAAAAGCGCCGTTTTTTTTAAACGACGAAAAAAGAGGTCTCAATTCGATACGTATATTTTTTTATGTTTGACCACGCTTAACTTTTTACAGCTTAGTTCGATTTCGATAATTTTTTTATTGGATAGAGGGGGTATACCGTATACCTCAATGATCCCATTTAAAAAAAAAACATCTCTCAGTGTAGAAAACAAGGAGGAAACGGTAGGTTATTCAGCTTATGAAGTTTTAAAATACATTCTTCTTACTTTCCTATTTTTTACACTAAAAGTGGAAAAATAAATACTTTAAAAAATAATAAAAACCGACTTAAAAACACTAACAAGTAAGAAAGAACTGATTGGTAATTTTCACTTACTATAGATATCTAATGAGATATTTTTGAAGGCGGTGCCAGGCGCCAGCCGCTATAAAGTAAAGCACATCGACTTCTATTGATGATTTGGTATATACTCGTAGTAGGTAAATGAAACCTACCAATCAGTTATTTTTCACTTTTTAGTCATTTATTTTGAAGTCAGTTTTTTTTGTTTTTATAACTAAACAATCGCTACAAAAAAAGACGTAGAGGGAGACAAATTACAAGATGGAAGTACGATCTGCCTAAGGGCTAGGGAAGGACGATGTCACAAGGCAACCTGACCCGGTAGCTCATAAATAGAAATCTTAGTTAAAAAGAAAAATATAAGATACATATTAAGAATACATTAGTTAAATTGTAGTTTAATTCATCTTTAAATTTGTATGTAAATAGAAAGATTAGAGGAAAAATGAAACCTACGACTTTCAGTATATCACGCAGTACCAGCATACCTACTTCCTATTGGACACTGACAGACTTCATAATTTTCTTTCATAAGATGTTAACTACAGGAAGGTTCTTTGCCTTGCTACCGCTCAACATCCTAGGGAGCTAAGTGTGTCTGAAAATTAGCGCTGTTTGAAAATTTAATGTCATCGGCATCAGCGTATTTATTACCTTTTGCTACTATAGATTTACTTTATTTCAAAAATTGTAATGTTTTTAATTAATTATACTAATTTTATTTTATGGCAATATTGATCTGCAACTTCTGTATGGGAAAAAAATTTGTCTCACAAATTTTTTATTTGATGTAAGCCCCAAAGAGTTAGATATTTCTAATATTATCTCAGTAATATAAGCGATTCGAATAATTTTATAATTAATATTAGTTTTTTTTAAGCTAAAGCATCTATTTCGTATTAGTGATTCCATTTAAATGACTAAAATTTAATTTATATTCACTCGCGTTTGTTATACCTGCTATTAGACTGGATAAAGGAGTTATTCAGAAACATTATTTTACGTTTAGCTTAACCGGAATGTCGTCTTCAGTTCGATATTTAATATCTATTTATTAATTGTGACGCTTTGGCCAGCTACTATATAACACAGCAACAACGGATCTCGACTTTATTAATAAGAAATTAATGATACACATATCAGCCCATTAACGTCTAAAATCCGTGAAGTGTGTCAAGCTATTTATTTTTGTGAGCAATGATTTGACATTTCAGTTAATTTTATTTTGCTTTTATTCTCTTCGAAATGTCATATGTGCACCGGATGTGAAGGCTGACCAAGTAGGTAAATAGATGTTTCAAGTAGCTTTAATCAAGTATTGTAAATGCACAGTCATAAGATGTCATTTTTTATTATATTACTTGGATGATTATTGCATTGAGCGTAATTAAGCCAATGATATGTATGATAATGCTCAATGTGAGGACGAAGTTATACAAAATTTAATACCTATAACGTTATGTTTGTATGTTGGGAGAATTTTATTTTATGTAAATTGTTATGCGAAGTGGCTTCTCATACATTCCAATTATGAGAAATACGACTCTCCTGTAAGTCGGTCGTCTCTGAGCTACTGTGTTTAGGAGGTATTGTGATTTGTTAAACTTGTGTCGGGTAAAAAAAATTGGTGCAGAAGTGAGTGATGCGTACGCGCATACTCGCCGTTAGCTGTTATAATGTCATGAGCTATGCTAATTCTTCAGTTTGACCTCGTCACACCTGATTTTAGGAGTCTGATCCACATTTGGTATGTTTAGAATGAAATTTATTATACATCTAAATGTTAATGAAGGCAATGAGGAATACGATATTTTTGACGAATATTGGATGCTATCGCACAATAATACTGCTTACTTATGACATATTTATCTGATCTAGTTTCAGATCTTAAACAAAACCTGTGGAGTAAACAACTTGTACCGGTCGAAGTGTGAAAAAGTATTATTAGAAAAAATATCATTTTATATATTCTCCAGTTAAATATATATCTTTGAAACAATGCAACTAGTAGGAAAATTTGTAAGTTATTTATTATATTAATTTTGAATCTTAAAACTTTTCTATGTTGCGGCCTATAGAGGAAGGACTCTACATTTCCGTTCCCTTTTTTGGTGAAATGCGTATAAGTTGGTCCTTTACAACGTTTCTGTTAAAGTTGGATTAACATAAGCAGCTTGTTAATAGTTTAAATGTGTCACTTTGGATATATTGTCTTAATTTAAGTTTTTCAGTCATAAGAGTCAGAGTCTTAAAAAACGTATCGTGTTTGATAATATGGTTATATAAGAGTTTTAAAGTAATATTTAATGAAAGTACTTTCACCCTTTATGATTTTATTGTGTCATATTATAATAGAAAACATATTTGAAGATTTCAGATATTTTGATATTATAGTTAGATTATAGTTAGATTATACATACATTAATAATATTCGCAAATGTCACTTTTTGCACGATATTTTAGGATACTAATAATAATTTGTTTGGCTCAGTTTGTAGTGACCCTACTTACTGTGCCAGCGGTCGCGGGTTCGAGTCCCACTGGAGGCATTCATTTGTGTGATGAGCACGAATGTGTACTCTAGTCATGGGTGTTTATATTTATAATATGTATGTATTTAAAGTTGTATATGTGTAGTGTATCAACTATCTGGTATCCATAACACAAGCTTCGTAGCTTACCATGGAACTAGATGGCGCTATGTGTTAATGTCCCTACATATTTATTTATTTAATTTTATATACATACATAGGTACTATAGATGCACATAATATTATCCTTATTTTTATCTAAATTGTGTTTATATATTAAATAGGTAATTTAAGAATAAAATGTATAACGAATACACAATATGCAATAAAATATCTTACTTTACGTGGTATTTATATATATTAATAATATTATAATGATTAGGGGGTAATCACTGGATCTACTGAACCGATTTAGCCGAAATTTGGTAAGAAGATAGTTTGGGACCTTGGGAAGCACATAAGATAATTTTTATTCCGGAAACTATCTCTTAAGAGGGTGAAAATGGGGATGAAAGTTTATATTGGGAAGCAAGCTAGGGACGAACCCGAGCGAAGGGAGAATAGTAGAATATATAATTGTTGCAACACTACATGCTACTTGCTTTCTTTATCATTACTCTCATTTTAACATGATTATTATCAAAAATCTAATTAAACTCATTTACTTTGACATTTTATATCATTTTTCATTAATCCAGTTCATAAAAAAATGTACTACATAATTCTACAAACATCGGCGGTCTGCTGATATCTTTGCGCGCAAGTCGTGATTTATCTATATTAAGTAATTACGATGTGTGAAAATTCATATTGGGCAATTTTACTTTATAATGTTTTCACTTTTATAAAATCGCTTACGTACAGCAAATAAAAAAAAAACTATTTGGCGCGACTGTAACAAACGACAGCTGAACAAAACACACAATACAAAATGTAATTTATATAATGTAGCTAGTTACTTTTAGTGGAAGGACCAGCAATAAATCAGCTTGGTAGTTTCAGAATTAAAGCAAACAAACAAATTCCTGTTTTTAAAATATTATAGTACAGATTAGTTTTAAATGCACATAAATATAGTTGTTTATAAACATAAAGAACTATTAAGTATAAATAAATAACCAATTATTTTGACAATTATATTATTAGGCCATTTATTATTCAAAAGCGCATGTTACAGTCTATTTGAATAGTATTTTTTATTGACTAGCGACGTACTGTCGCTTCGCTCGGATGCGTTTTTATACTTGAATTTAGGAAAGCTTAAAATACCAAAGAAAAATTATTTTTTATGCGCCAATTATCTTTGCAGGCATATACAAAATGACCTACTATAGTTCCATTACAATCGGATTAATGGTTTAGGAACACAAAGAGGACAAACATACGAAAATTCATTTTTATTTATATAATAAGATTAAACAATAACAAAGTTAAAAGCTAGATTTGCAAGTTATTATAGAGAGCTATTAATAAATAAGTCATTTAATATTTTCAGGTGATCGTGATATCAATATTGGCGATAGTTCAATGCTCACCATTCGACGATGGAAAATACAGACCTAAAAATTATGACTACTATGATGACGGTAAATATTACAGACCGTTAGATGAAGGCAAATACATACCAGGAGATGAAGGAAAATATACATATATTTATCAACGAGGAGTATATCCGTATGATGGTACATACAAACATATAGGACGAGGCGATTCCAATGAGTACATAGGACACCAGATTTATGCTCCTCGATTCCCCTTTATTTATAGGATAATAACATCCTTTGTTACTAAATACGTATCACCAGACATTGGTGGTATTAGTGACGCTATACTTGGAAGGTGGAGTGCAAATAACATAGATACAGTACAGGCAGATGAGGAAGTCGCCTTAAAATGCCAAGTTATAGAGCCAGAGTCTAAAAATGACTCGGAATCAGTATCTACAACGCAGTAAGTATATCTTATATTTATCTTATCTTTAATTTTTTCACGCCAAGTACAGCCCACCATTCTCCGCTTATTATGACTATTTGTAGTAAACAGACAAACAGTTGGTCAGTCTCTTGTATTCGTATTCGACTCTTTTTCATGTCCCACTGCTGGGCATGGGCCTCTCTTTACTAAATAGAGGATCAGGTGATAGTCCACCACACTCGCCAAGTGCGGGCTGGCGGACTTTCGGGTGTTTCATACATGGGAATATCAGAGGTACAAGACCCGAGATTTGAACTCGCTTCACTTAACTACACTGGTTGATCTCTTGCGGAACTTTATTAAAAGCTCGTCGTCAAAAAAAGCTAATTAACTTTATATTCATATTCCAAGTATTTCATAATTTTGAGACTCACATAATTTATACGCTTATTTTTTATGATTTTAAGGAATGCGAATTTACTATCATAGTTGCTATCATCTGTTATTAGTTAGATGACCTTTACATGTTCCGGTTCGAGGTCGCCGTTCGAGGTTTTTATGGAAATAAATTTAAAATAGAGCAGTTATTATCGGATGTGATTTACTAGAAGAAGATTTCTTTGTAGAGACCGGTTCATATAAATCATCGTAGATCCGCGTTGATGAATACACATTTACATGTAGCTATACCTATCATGCGTTAAGTAAATTATATGAGAAAAATATTATGTAACAAATTATTATTGCTCGCTAAAATATATTAGGGAATTTTAAATAAAGCTATAAAAGTGATTTCTATTAATTAATTTAAAATTCCAAATGAGCTATCTACCGGTTTCCCATTTTGTATGCATTTCAAGCACATTTCATTATGCTTTTGTAGGATCCTGTTTAGATTTTATTATAATTGACTATATTATAAGAGAGCTATCTGACGCTATCTTGACGCGGAACTTTATAATAAATTATTAGAAATGATCAAGCCATAGTTATTTTTAATTCTAATGAAGATGAAATTATTTATATATTTACTTTAATTTCCTCGTACATAAACAATTATAGAAGTGGCTAATAAATTGATATTTTTATATTTTGTAGTATAAATGTACGTAGGTCGTCATGATATATGTGGTATTAGCCTACTTACTTTGATTTTATTATGGTTACGATGTACATTCGCTCTTCTTTAGATAAAATATAGTAGAAAAATATTTTTATAAATAAGAGTTATTTTATTCACGAGGTACTTAAAATATTGGAAACAGAGGTTTTCCTATAAAGAAACTATTAAAGAAAATTAATTTCAAAGTTAAATATTACTTATATTTATAAGAATAATCGTTATTTATAAAACTTTAAATGCTAATTTACACCTTCTACAGTGAAAGCAGTAGCACTATTTAATATTAAAATCTGAAATTCATATTGAAAAAATATTCTCATCGTTATACTAGTATAGTATATATGTATATATAGTTAGAATTTAAATAAAGTTTAAATATTTAGTATTTATTAAATCGTTCAATATTATATACGAAATCTCTACCTATTAATTATTTTTTTATACGGACTGAGTTAGTTTCAGTCTGTTAAAAATTATTAATATACCTAATGAATTTTAGCTCAGATTTTTGTAAATTAATTATTTTAATTGAAACCCAACAAAGATATTCTCAGTTTAGTTATGAACTATTATAAAAATAAATCATCAGAATTATGTATATCGTAATTTTTATATATAAAACTGACATGTGCATATTAGCACTTTAAAAGGTCAGAGTAATAAAATCATATTAGATACGAGGATCACGACTCGTGGTACACTCAGATATAGGTAAAATAATGAATTAAAAGACTTAAATCTTCATTCAGTAAATGGATTTAATTAAAAATAGTTAATTTGTCGATTAAAGTCCCGAGGACATTTAAGACATAATATTATGTAGGTACTTCCTAAGAAAAAATATCAAAACAGACTTGTGTTTAATTTTAATTATCAGTTTGTTCAGTAATATTTCATATTCTGGCGACACGTTTGGCTCAGTTTATAGTAACCCTACTTAATATGCCATCGGTCGCGGGTTCGAGTCAAGCTGGGGCCATTCATTTGTGTGATGAGCACGAATGTTTGTATTTTAGTCATATAATATATATGTATATATTTAAAGTTGTAGTATATGTGTAGTGTATCAACTATCTGGTATCCATAACACAAGCCTTGTAGCTTTCCATGGAACTAGATAGTGCTGTGTGTTAATGTTCCAAGATATATATTTATATTCTTACTTATATGGAAATGACTATTATTTTTGATTTTTTTTTATCTAATTTGTTCTAACAATATTTAATTTTTTTTAATGATTTTATTTTCAGTGTCAATTAAAAGTTTTAAAACATTTTTACATTGATTAAAATATTTAAACTAAAAGCTTTACTATTTCATAAAAATATTTTAAAAGTATTATACAAGACGGTTCCAATCAGTTTGCTATAAAAATTACTAGTTACGAAGTGAACATATCGCTCAGTGCTCCAGTGACCTACAATCTACATATTACTAGCGACTCACCCTCGCTGCGCTCGGGTTCGTCCCTGGGGTGGGGTCTGGGAGGACCACCCTTATCTTTATCACTCAGGGGTATGGAAAATAGATAGTAGCCGATTCTCAGACCTATTGAATACGCATATAAAATTTGGTAAAAATCGGTAAAGTCGTTTCGGAGGAGTACGGTAACTAACATTGTGACATGGAAATTTTATATATTAGATTATATTGACCTGTGCTATACGTACACGGAAAGCGCAAGCTTATATAATAGTGTAATTGACAAATAGAAATATTTCTTTTGAAAGGAAAGTATTTATTTATTATTTGAAAGCTGATTATACTTTTAGAGCAAATAGCCTTTTAGCGTAATGCGAAATAATACCAAATTATTTTGATTAGCTTCTAGCAACTTACTTGCTTCGATCGGGCGTGTTCCTACTCGTAGTAGGTATGCGGATTTTGTTCATAATTTTATCATTTTTTATGTTTTTGCGCGGAACAGTAATTTTGCTCTAAAATAAAAGTAGCCTAAGTTACTGCTTATAACATCAGGTCTCGGTCTAGCTGATTCGTAGATTAACCGTAACAAACAGGCAGACAGAGAAAAATTACAAAAAATGTTTTTTTTTTGTAATTTTTCTCTGTATCATTTAGTAAAAAGTTGTAATTTTGACATTACAAACAGACACTTCAATTTTATTTATTTGTATATATTAGCTAAATATCTTGATAACCCTGCATTTGGCGTTATCTATATATACTCGTACATATAGTAAAATTGTAACTAAGTCGAATCTGTACATTAAATATTTTTTTGGAAAAGCTAATTGAAATAGACATTATTATCGATACAGAGTCCGAATCTATAGTTTTTAGAATTTTTGTCTGTCTGTTACCGCATCACGAGAAAACCAGGACAGATTTTGATGAAATTTGGTATGATGATAGCTGGTTATCCGGGTCAATATATAGGATACTTTTTACCACGGGAAAATATCTCATTTCTGAGAAAAAATACAAAAACTGCATTGTAAGAGTATACTAATATATAAAACTTAAGAATTTGTTTTTTGGTCATCTGAACGCGGGCGGAGCCGCGGGCAATGCTAGTCGTAAATATATTTGTTGTAGGTATTTAAATTATGTATATAGTGATAAACTACTAATAAACTACTACTAACTTGTCATAGCTTCAATATCAGCCTTGTCCAATATCAGTGACTTTTCATCTACTTATTTAATGTACTCGTTATTTATATGTACTTGGACGCAATGCGTTATATGCAACGACTTCTCAGTCCGATTGGGCTGAGTAGTCGTTGGTTATACGTTTGCAGTAAAATCACGTTATACACTAAGATAATGAATACACTAAGATTAACACGATAAAAATAAAAAAATAAAATTTCCAGGCACTAAAGTGTAAAAAATAACTGGGATATGAATATCTAATAGGTAAATAGAAAATGATATGAATATCTAATAGGTAAATATGACTACGTATGAACTCTAATTATAGTTAAAATATTATACATTAATTTGTGATGTATTTATACGTATGAAAATAGATTTGCTATGCTTTGCATCGGCTGGCACCGAATACGAAAATATTTGATTAGGTACCTATAGTAAAAGAAAAACCCCGGTTCAGTTATTTTTTACTTTTTAGCACTAAAGCTGGAAGTCCTTTTTTTAGTTTTTATTTTTCCATTTTTAAGTAGGTTATTTGTAAGAAGAAAGTTTCATAACATATTCGATTAAGCCATTTATGTTAGTATGCTGCCAAATTTTGTATAAAGACTTACATTAGTTTAGCACTATTAGGGACACTAAAAATCATGCTTTAAACCCAAACCAAATAAGCTCAAACTCCTTCTGGTCTTAGCATCAGATCAGCTCGATGATACCAAATAACTACATTATCATCAGAAATATAAAAGTTTCGAAAGTTTCAAGTCAATATGACAATTAGAAGTAGATACAAAAGATCTGTGAACATATTTCGAATTTCATGTTTATTCTGATTTTCCCAAAAACGGTAAACTCTACCAGTACAGCAAGTTTTTAGAAGAATGAAACCAGAAATTGTGTTTTAAATTTATTTTAGAATGTAATATATTCTTATGAAAAAAAAAACAGGATTATCTACAGAACTTGGCATCCATTTAGATCTCAATTCTCTTGTCAGTGAAGTTGATAACGCATATTCTTAATATTGAACTTGGCTCCCACTTTCACATTTATGTTTTTGATGGGATATCATGACTATATACTGTAAAGAAACTATTATTACTCATAATTACAAAGGGACATGTAAATTGAATCTTTTTTTTTCATAATTTTGCGAGTATTCGTTGGTGGATAAGGCGGAATATGAAAATTGTTATTTAATCATCATGGAACCTTTTCTCCTAAAAAGGAAAAAGTTTTTGCTATTGCTATTATATTTTAAAAGGCATTAGGTATTACTATTATGTTTTGGAAGTCGCAATATGATAATAAAAATTTTTTTTTTTTCAAATTTTAAAAATTTACTGTTTTCGGATTTTTTCCTTTGTATGCACACGATTACTCACCTGGACACCAAATTTTAACTTCCTAGGTCACCTGGAAGTGGGTTAGGTTTACTACTCAGTCAGTTAGTAATAAAAATGACGATTTTTAGACGTTAATATCTTAATAACCGTTTGAGCTGTATTTATGAAATTGGGAATTCTAGTTAATCTAACGGGATTGAATAAATGAACCAAATTTCAAGAGTTTATGTTATATAGATTATGAGTTATTACGAGGTGAAAAGTGGCTCCAAATAGTTCGTGTAAAATATACATATGTATACCCTCAAGTCACACCGCAGTTTTGTACTTTGAAGCTTGTAACAATATTTTTGCCGGAATAAATTATACCCAGTACTAATTTTCTCTATAAGGTATCCTAAAAGAAGCACAATAAGGTATTTTTATTTATTAATCCATATGAACTTTTTATAGAACTATTAGAGGTCTTAATATTATTTGCGATAATTATTTTCATTTATTTACTTTTATTTGATGCCAACCAACTGATTTTTAGTCAATCCGACTCATAACACCAGCAATGTTCAGCTTCTTTAAGTGCTAGGGTAACTTAGTATACCTTTGATAACAGTACAAACTACAAAGCCCACTTGTGTTTGCGCGTACATTTGTGTACTATAATATCCCCTGCACCTGCTAGTCTCAACTAGATTTGCCGCCGTGGCAGTTGGAAGTTGGTCTTAAGATCATTCAAAATTAAGTTTTTTTCGAGAAGATAAATTTTAATATCAGACGAAGCGAAAACACAAGCAGATGAAAAATATGATATATTTTTTATAGCACTTTATTGCATACATTATATTATTTGCTTTATTGTATACATTGTAATAATTTTAAACTGCTAGCCATAATATATAAATAAATAAATAAATAAAATAAATATGTTGAGACATTAACACTCAGCACCATCTAGTTCCATGGAAAGCTACGAGGCTTGTTATGGATACCAGATAGTTGATACACTACACATATTATATAACTTTAAATACATATCTACATATTATAAATATTAAATAACCAAGACTGGAGTACAAACATTCGTGCTCATCACACAAATGAATGTCACCAGCCGGACTCGAACCCGCGACCACTGGCACAGCAAAGCAAGCTGGAACTACAAACTGAGCCAAACGTGATATAATATCAACTTTATCACTAAAATCGATTTATTGTAGGCAAATGATAATAATTAACTTGTAACGAGACACAAAACTTTTAAGCAGACGAGATAAAGCATTATTATTATACTTCATATGTCATTAGTAATATTTTAGATGTAGGTATAATTCTATCAAGTATCTTTATAAGGTTTTCAAGATTCACGTTTTTATATTGTTCCGGAGCAAGGTCATAAGAAAGTCACTAATATGAAACAACCATTCCGCCATCGCACTGATTACGTAAACTAAACAATGTGAAATGGAGTTTAATAGAAATTCTCAATAACAGTATATCTATACATGTAATAAAACTCTAAGTCGAATCTGTACATTAAATATTTTTTTGGAAAATCTTATTAAAATAGACATTATTATCGATACAGAGGCCCAACCCATAGTTTTTAGAATTTTTGTCTGTCTGTCTGTGACTGCATCATAGAACAACCACTGGAGGGGTATGGTAATAGCTGTTTGTCCGGGTCAACATATAGGATACTCTTTACCGCGGGAAAATATCTCATTTCTGAGAAAAAATGCAAAGACTGGTTAGAATGAAACCACGATGATACTATAAACATTTTAGCAATGTAACTTACTAAATATGGCAAAAACTATTAAAAAAGCTTATCTTGAATTTTTTTAATAAAATAGCCATATTTTATTCATTAAAATATCTCAAAAATATTTATTTATGTGTTATTTAGACATTCGACAATAGATGTCGCCATGTGTTTTTAAAATACGTAGTTTTAACTTCAAAAAATTGAATGTACAGATATTGAATGTGCATACGTTTCTACGATTTTATTAGAATTATTACTAAATTACCTGCGGCCCTGACTGTTTTCAAAATGAATTACTTAGTAATAATATTTTGTTGGCTGAAACAATTTTCAAATGAAAATATTTGTAATTTTTTATTGTTTAGTAAATAATTTTAATGTTTATAAAACTTTTAATGTATAAATTAGGCTAATGCAAGTCCAACTCGCGCATTACAGGTTCCGTATAGCAAAATACTGCGTTGTTTTTCTTACTCCTACGTTTTTTGCTAAGTTAACACTAAAATAAAGACGAAAAATATTAACATTTCCACGATATACTCATTTTATCAACCGTAAAAGTAGGTTCGTTTTATATTATTTTCTAACATTTTATGGAAAAAAGGTTTATGATTGTTAAACTGACAAATCTGGTGATTAAAATTAGTTCATATCTCTAAAACAACGGAACGTATATTCTGCAACATAATTATCCATAAATGTATTTTAGAAACTGTTATACCTCAACTCTTTCTGACATTTTTCACACCATTTCTTGAAAGGTTACGACTTTAATCATATTAGTCGCGCCGAAATAATAAAAATTATTTGCTTAGAATTATTTCCTTTTTTACCTTAATTATCTACTTTTAGAACTCTCACTTTCCCCCATGAAATATTTTTTTTGAGTATCGTTTCGGATAATATTACTTACTAGCGCTGTTACTAAAATATTACTAAACGTGCAATATTACTCGTACTAAATCAAATATAAAATTAACGGAGGAACCTTTGTGGCATTGTCAATCGCTGCTATTATTTACCAATCATGCGATGCGCAATGAAATTATTATATGTAAGAGTATACTAATATGTAAAAACTAAGAATTTGGTTTTTGGTCATCTGAACGCGGGCGGAGACGCGGGCAATGCTAGTAATTTCATAAAAATCTTTCTATTAGTCTTAATTCTCTCTAATCTCAACTCAGATCTGAACTTGTTTATGTAATAAATCATTTTATACATATACGCTTCGCATATATATTCGCATTCGCATAATATTTTGATATTTATTCTACTAATATTATAAATATGAAAGGTTATGAGGATGTATGGATGTCTGGATGTATAAGTGTATAGATATTTGTTACTCTTTCACGCAAAAATAACTAAATAGATTTTAATGAAATTTTACAATAATATAGCTTTTAGATCAGAATAGCACAAAGTCTCATTTTGAACCCGGTAAAATGTACGGTTCCCGTAGAATACATTTGTTTTAGTTTTTCTAGAGGAGAACCTGAGCGAAGCCAGGATGAGCCGCTAGCATTATTAATATAATCCAATACAACAACGCTATAAAAAGGAATATATAACATGCTAAATCTTTACATTTTATTCCAATTTTTTTCTAATATATCTATTGTTATCACAATCTATTTAATAAAAAATAAATTTAGTTAAGGCAGTGGTAGCCCAGCGGTAACGCGTTCGCTTGGGAAACCGAGTGAAGCGGGTTCAAACCTCGGGTCTCGCACCTCTGATATTTTCATGCGCCAATCATTGTTAACATGATTACCACTTGCCTTACGGTCAAGGAAAACATCGCGAGAAAACCTGCATGTCTGAGAGAACTTAGCAAGTTTTCGAAAGACATGTGAAGTCCGCCAATCCGCACTTGGCCAGCGTGGTGGACTATGGCCTGATCCCCATCGTATTGAAGGAAGGGAGGCCTATGCCCAGCAGTGGGACGTTAAAAAGGGCTGAATACATAAACATACATACATACAAATTTAGTTATTATAGTGTTAAAATGATATGTCAGAGCTGTCGAATATGTCTTTCATTTTATCATTTTTGTATCTGCTATTTTTTAGATAATTTCTAGTTCGCGCTTTAATATGTCACACAATTTGGCGTTCCTATGTAAACTATAACATTTACTTTTTTAATAACTGTTTTTTATTTTCTTATTTCAGGTTTCCACCATACTTAAACTTAGAAGAAGGCGAAAAATTAGGGACGTTTTACAATTTCAAAGGAAGTAAAGTTTTAAGTACGATATCCGATTCTAAAAATAATAAATTAAAATTAGAATATGAAGTTCTCGTTAGAATTGTAGAAGATGTGAGCGAATGATATTAATTTATATGGAATATGATACCTTACCCTGAATATATGTGAGGCACGAAGATTTTAAATTATAATAAAATATTAAAAATATTATTTTGTTTTATTGAACAACATACTTAAAAAGCTTAATGATTACTCATGTAAAGAGCTACCTACCAAATGAGCTATGCAAATCGAACTGACAATTTTTAACTACGTTAATATTATAATATTATGAAAACAAAGGATGAGATGCCGGAAACTTAGCCGTAGGTAAATAAATTTTATGTCTCGCAAATTGGTGTTTCTTATGGGTGCAGTAGGTGGCGCAACATACCACACATCGCTCCATATAAGTTCCTTTCAATGTCACTCTGACAACCACTAAATCGCTTTATCTACATATTGGGCGCTCCTATTCTTGCAATAAATAGTCTATTTTAGAATTCGATGATTGTATAAAATCAAGTGATGGAATGATCGAACTATCATTGTCTTGTAACATTTCGACTCACAAGGTTTTAGTACAATGAAGTTCTTTGTGGTAAGTAAGATTTTTATTCTGTTTTTTTTTTTAAGAAAAAGCTATCCTAAGCATTGACTCGAGTAACAACTATACAAAATTTAGTAACATTTGTTTAGTATTTTTGTGTAAAACATAAACAGAAAAACAGACAAAAATTTCAACAACTATACTTTTAGGGTCTACATATGTTCTGTACACAATAGGTACGTAATTTTAAAAAATGTTTCATTTACGAATTTCGCTTTGTTATTATATGTATAGATAAATTAATTTTTAATCTGTTTCGGTTATTTGTCATTTTATTAAAACTGTGGAAAACTATAGTTATCATAAGAAGATCTCAGTATCAAATAGACAAAAAAAATCTCGAAATAAAATTGATATTTTATGTATTTAAACATGTGCTATAAGTATAAGAAATACATAAAAATGTACGATGAATATTTTGGCATCGCTACACATAGCTATGGAGCCATGTATTGAACGCTTTGAAATAATAAGAAATAAAAAGTAATAAATTCTAAATCAAAGTTAGGGTGCTTTATAAAGCAACAATAATTGTTCTTAAATTCATATATATATATATATATATATATATATATATATATATATATAGATAAGGAATTATAGCAAGCAGACGAAAACCACAACTCAAAAAAAAAATATTATAATATAAAATATCTATTAATTTGTAGGTACCACCAATATCAACTTATTTTTTCAGACGCTTACATATAATTCACTTATCATTTACAGTTCACTACTTTGGTTCTATGCCTCTTAAACGTAGTACGAGCTGATGACGATGGAAGCTACCACCCAGAGCTGAACGGTGATAGAGGAAACGTGTATAATCGCGTGAATCCTGCCAGATACAATTACAGGCATAATAACTATTTGAATAGAAATAACTTGAACTACCCTAACTACGGCTATCAGCCGCTATACCAACAGCTTGCTCCACCATTTGCAGCCTTCAAAGATAACAGGTACCATTTTTTTTGGCATATCAAAACTACTCTTATAAATGTGGCAGTTTGTGTGCATGCATGTATGTTTGTGCCTCCTTCACATTGAAACGGCTCAACGGATTTAAATGAAATTTATTACACAGATAGCCTATATTTACTCCGGAGTAACTTATAGGCTACTGTTAGTACTGAAACATTCAAAAAGGTGACGCTACCTGTATTTAGTAATATAAGTACAAAATTCATCTAGGGATGCGAAGCCAGAGTAAGTCTGTAGTCTATACATATAATAAAATTGTAACTAAGCCGAATCTGTACATTAGATATATAACGATGATAGCTGGTTTCTAGGTCAACATATAGGATACTTTTTACCGCGAGTAAATATCTCATTTTTGAAAAAACATACTAAAACTGCAATGTAAGAGTATACTAATATGTAAAACCTAAGAATTTGGTTTTTGGTCATGTGAACGCAGGCGGAGTCGCGGGTAACGCTAGTACGTCATAAAGTTTGTGATGCAGAAGTGTTTGTCGCTTCGTAGGGATGTCTATTATAATCTACAATGGTTTTAACAGAAATTGACATATCTTGAAATGCCATGATGGTCGCCATGCTGGTCATGGGTTTGAATCCGCATTATTTTATATTTTTATCTAGAGATGCTTCATTCATGCATGCCCCAAATTGTATTGAAACGTGAATAGCATATATACTCGAGTTTATTTAATTCTTATAATGTTGGAATCATATAGGCATTATTAGAGAAAAACAAGATGATGATAAGCGATAGATTGATTATAAAGTTTTTTTTTAATCTAGCCTATTACTAAAGTATTGTTATGAAAACGTAGTACTTTTATTTTATAATTTAAAAATTTATATTTGTAATTTGAATACATGTAAATTTAATTTAATTTAAGTACCATGAATATTTTAAGACATTTAAAAATACTATGCAGTTTTTGCAATTCTATTGTGCAAATAATCTTTGCAAGATATTGTTATTAAATTGTCATTAAGTAAATTATGCTCTTTGTAATTTGTAGGCGTCAATCTTTTAAGGTAAAATTCCGATTTTTTTGCATTTTAGTGTAGGCTTAAGTTTTTCAGTACTTTTTTAAAATATAACTTATAACTATTATTTGTTCTAGGTTTATTTCTAGCACAACAGCTCGTCCTGTTATAGCCGTTTCGACAGCTTTACCGCCTAAATATGCATATGCTAAAAATTATGGCAACGAAGGCTATGCTAGAATCATCGAACAAGACAATGATTTAATTGGAAATAATTATAAATATAGTTATAGGACTGAAAATGGAATAAGTGCAGGGGAAAGTGGAAATGTAGACGCTTCAAACTCAGCTGGAGGCACTAGAGTATCTGGGTTCTATGAATACATCGGTGCAGATGGTCTCACCTACAGAGTTGACTATACTGCCGACGAAAATGGTTTTCATCCTTCTGGTGCACACTTACCCTAATTTATTATAGTTTCACGAAATGCGAATTATGAATAAAATACAATTTTGATAAAAAAAATCTTTTCTTTATTTACTATGAATATTGGCTAATCTTCCAAAATTGTGTGAGTTTGATATGGGTAAAGAACGGGTATTTAGACTTTTAAGCAAGTTTTTTGCTACTGGACCTATGTCTATGCAGAGTCGAATAAGTTTATGGTATATGGAAGAAAAGTGCTTTAAATATTGATATCAAGTTTTACTCAAAGGAAACATTCCTTTATTGATAATAACTGCATTTAATTTTATTTAAAAAACCGTACCTGAACTCTGAACTCTGAACCAACTAAAAATACAGTAAAATGCACCTTCACTATTTTATTGAACTTACCGATAGAGTCTATGGTAAAGATAAAATCTCTCAAACATTATATCTTACAATTAAAGAAAACCATGAAATCTTACAATTTTTACATTTCGACTCTAACTAATATCGTGGAATAAACACACGGGGCATTGAAGGAAAGTGTCTTAAATACTGCAAATATTAAGTTTTATTCAAAGAAACATTTTTTTTAAATAAGGATAACTGCATTTCATTTCGTTTAAAAGTTATTACCTGAACCGGTAATCGAACCAACTGAAAATGCAAAAAAGTTCAGGTACGTGAGGAAACCTGCATGTCTGAGAGAATTTAGCATGTTTTCGAAAGACGAGTCTGCCAATCTGTACTTGGTGAATGTGGTGGACTATGGTCAATCCCTATTAGATATAGATATTTTTCAAGAAAGGCAAAAAACCATTTCAAAATCGGCCTAGCCGTATCCGAGAAAAAAACGCGTATATCTCCGTGGCCGTCGCGGGTAATCAAATAAAATACTTTAGCACTAAATATTTTATTAACAGATGAAAAACTTTAAGATTCAAAGATTTGTATTGTATTTCATTTTTATTAGCTTTAATACAACGTAGTGTTGGTAAATCTATCGTACGGCAGTGAAACAGACGTGGACATGACAAAAGAAGTATAAAAGCAAGATGAATATTGTAGAAATGTGATCTCTTAAAAGACTTTGTAGTATCAGCTTATCTGAGAGAGATAAGAAATTTGGAGAATGGCAAGTTGAAGGTGAACGAGGGTGAGGTCTCGGAGGACTTTTGAAGACCAAGCGTTCCTGAAACAAGAAAGCCAGGTCAACAGTCTGAGGACCACCGATGAGCGTGTATGGAGAGAATTATAACTATGGAAGAAGAGAAAGAAGTATGTAGAGATAGTAGATCGTGGTATTTTGATCTCTCTGCTAATAAAGCCTGAAGTTATGTAGGTACGTAATTTTATTATGAGTAGGCTTAAGCTATATGATTACAATGATTTATTAAGCAATTGTATGATTATTACATAAAGAATAGACAGTATTATATTCTATATTGCACAAAAAAGAAAAGTAGTCATAAAAAATACATAGAAAGTGACGTGGACAAAGGTGGACTTATCTCTATAAGAAATCTCTTCCAGCTAACCCATGTATGTGGGAAATAGTGTTAAGTAGCGGGTCAGAAAGTGAAAGTGCAGAGAAAAATTGTAAAGTAAATAAATGTAACAACATAAAAGACTTAAATCGTAAGGGCGTCCTCATAAAAAATATATTTTTTGTGTATTTTTGTTTAAGTGGCACGTAATAGCACACACTGTGCACATTTCAGCACCTTTCCTATTTCTTAGAAATTCCAAAATTGTGGGGTCAACATAACGAACATCTAGAAAATGCTTCTTTATGTTGGCTTTAAACGCAACTGTAGGAAAGGCTCTCCTGTAGGACTTTAGGAAGTTTGTTCCATAACACTGCTGAGCTCGGAAGTCGGAGACATGATCAATGATCATGCTTATGCAGACCATAGATAAAGCGTATGGCGAGATTTTGGAGACGCTCAAGTTTATTCAGTAGCTCCTCTGTTACATCCAAATAGTATACATCGGCGTAGTCGAGTATGGGCAGAGAAAAAGATTGCGCAAGCATAAATTTGGTTTTGAAAAGAAAACTTATTAGGTACTATAATTCTCTAAGCTTTGCTCGAATATAAAAGTTGTCATTTTATTTACCGATTCTGTTAATAACCAAATTAATAAGTTATCACATATATGCGAATAGCTATTCAGTTACCTATAATAAAACCATCGTATCTACATCGTAAATACATCGAATCGGTATATTAACTATTTAAAGAAACTTAAATATGCTTATTTATTCTACTTGATATTTTAAGTTTTTAATATGCGTTATTTGAAATATGCAACCAAATTTCAAAACAAAAAGTTGTTTAAGGCAGTGGGAATGTTGATTGTTTCAATAAATTATAACTAAATCGACGCCTATCAACAACTTTTATACAAAAAGGCAAGCTACAAGTTGGTGTCGCCCACTAAGAGCCAAAGCCTGCAGAGTCCATTTAATGTTTTTTTATACTTATCAAATATTACATTTTTTTATAAAATTGATATTCTGTGAAATAAGAGGTTAATTTAATTTTGGTTAACAATACGTACGGTAGTGGTATATAAAGTATACATGTAACTACTGCTACGACATGGCATTTACGTAGTTTTTATGCATGATAAATACAGAGCTCAATAGCTTAAGTTATTAAAATTTCTGTCAAAAACAGATATAAAATTGTGAACATTTTCTATTTAAATGACGATTAATTTAAATTTTCTTAAGGGATCTATTTTAGGCCTATTTTAGGCCCTTTATTATTTTTGATATTTATCAATGACCTACTACTAGTCTAAGATCCAGCTGCAAGATTCCTACGTTCATCAAACAACAAAAATTTAAAGTGAAATATTTGTGAAATTGTCAACCCTAATCATCTATTATTTTCTAATTTTATGGTGCAACTTTTAATACGTAGGTGTTATTTTTTTAATTGGTTTTCTGTTTCTGTCCCGTGGGTTTAGTAGCTAGTATTTCTGTCATATATGTCTACAGATTTAGAGATCGCGTCCTGGGACTGGGCAAATAAAGTTAGAGTGTACTTGTGATTGAATCACACTTGTATACTATAATACCACGCAGATGACAAGTCTCGGTGGGGTTGGCTGCCGTAACCGAAAACCATCAATACATTATTATTATATGGAATTTTTATTTTCATTTTAATTTCAAGAAACTAGATTTTGCTTTCAGCTCCACTCGTCGTTTTAGGTACGTCGATAAATAAAAACCTACTCGTATGTGCCTTTTATTTAACTGCCTCGGTGGTGTAGTGGCTAGCATGTACGGCTGCACACCCGGAGGTCCTGGGTTCGAGTCCCGGGTCGGGCCAAGTTTAGTTATTAAGTCTTCCTGTATAGTAAGTCTCAGTAACAGCCCGGAGTTGGGAAGTTGGCGGTGTTTCACCTCCGTGCCTCGGAGAGCATGTAAAGCCGTCGGTCCTGCGCCTTTATTCTCACCGGTCGTGTCGAGTGATCGTCCCACCGGAGTATGAGAGTGATAGGAATAGAGAGTGCACTTGTGTCTGCGCGTACACTTGAGCACTATAATATCTCCTGCGCAGTTGGCTAATCTCATTGAGATTGGCCGCCGTGGCCGGAATCGGCTAGGAGAACATCATCACTCGTATGTGTCTATTAATAATATCAGTTATCTTTATTCGGAATCTCACATAAAGTAGAGTCACTACAGCGTAGAGTAAGAAACTCACACACTTACTTTATTCTATACTGTGTAATTTATAAAATCAAAGTGTAAGTAAATTGTTACTTACATTTATTATACAGATAGAAACATTGGAAATAAGAGTCTACTAAAGTTCTTAAAATAGATTTATACACTATTATTTTCAAGTCCTAATTGATAATATAGATATTAGATCAACTAGAATCCGTTAGCAAGAGTCATAGCAGTAATGTAAAGTAGGTAATCATAATAATCTATACATATAATAAAATTCTAATTAAGTCGAATCTGTACATTAAATATTTTTTTGAAAATCTTATTGAAATAAATATAATTGATACAGAGGCTGAATCAATAGTTTTTAGAATTTTGTCTGTCTGTCTGTCTGTCTGGGAATGCATCACAAGAAAGCCACAGATTTTGAAAAAAATTGCCTTAATGATAGCTGGTTATCCGGGTCAACATATAGGATCCTTTTTACTTCGCGAAAATATCTCATTTCCGAGAAACATATACTAAGCGGTAAAACGTAACAAGGGACGAACCCGAGCGGAGGTAGGGTTAGTCGCGAGTAGACTATAAACATATCATATGAAACAATAATACTCGTAAGTAATACAAGAATTGTAACTCTTTTTCTTACCAATCTAAAGTTCTGGATATCTTATCCAGGTTACAAAATGTGTCTTACACAAAGCTCGACTTAACCAAAACGGTAACGTTAAAATTAAAATTTTAGATTATTTTTGTACAGTCAACCTAATGTTTTTTTTTTTTTTTTTATACTATTCCGAATTAGTGCTTGACTACGTTCCACCTGATGGTAAGTGGTAACGCAGTCGTAGATGGTAAGTCGCACTAATTCAGTAGCCACCTATTCACTCTTGCCTTGAAGACACCCATATTATAATCGGACGGAAACACCGACGCAGGCAGGTTGTTCCAATCCTTAGCCGTACGTATAATAAATGACGTAGCGAAACGCTTCGTGCGGACGGGTGGAATGTCCACGACATAAGGATGGAGACCAGCCGTTCGTCGAGTTGTCCGATGATGGAAAGGGGATGGGGGAATTAATTCATGTAGTTCCTGCGCACACTCTCCGAAATGTAACCTATAGAATACACAAAGGCTGGCAACCCTACGTCGGTGATCGAGGCTTTGTAATTTAGCTTTTACCAGCGCAGGGTCACCTATAAGCCTTTGAGCACGCCTCTCAATCGAGTCCAAGGCTGACAGATGGCATTTCGCAGCACCAGCCCATATGTGGCTACAGTATTCCACACACGACCGGACTTGCGCTTTATATAAAACAAGAAGCTGTCCCGGCGTGAAATA